GATAAGGTTATAGCTCTCATAATATCATCATTTCACCTCTGAACATTTCACCTCTGAGCTTTTCTGGGAACACTTCCTATCCAAACCATAACAAACATCTTTCCTACTTTTCTCAAGGACAGAGAGGTGGACCACAGGGAAACCCCCACTCCAGCATGCAGGCCAACTGACAATCTCATATTGATTTAGAACACTGAACCTCAGAGATCCATACGATGCCACTTAATAGAGGACACAAGGCTGCAGGCACTCATGATTGACCCTGGGAGTACTGATTTGTCCCTATGGAAACAGCTTCTTGCTTCTAAGTCTGGCTTTACACGTCTGCAGCATGGTGAAGGCCACCCCCCTGCACCCTTGGGATGGTTACAGCTGGAAAACAGCAGCCAGGACCTAACCAGATACCAGCCAAAACTATGAGCATATCCCAGCCCAGAATCCATCCTCACCTAAGTAACTGACGCCTGGCTCCTAAGGAGTCTCGTACGCAAATCATTTATTAGCAGCTCAGACACTCTCCCATGACTGACAGCTGTGAGCCAGGCTCAAGAAAGAAATACAGGCAAATGGTTCCTGAGATCTTTAATCTGCAAAGCCAAAATCAGAAGAATCAGAGTAAAGGAGTGAGATAAAGGATCTTCCCTTTTCCTAATAGTAGTAACAATCATAACGAACACATCCTGAGTGTTTACCACATGCCTGTTCTGCATTAGAAATCAATATGTCTCATTTCATTTTACTCATTGGCCCTACAAAGTAAATATCCTAACTATCCTATTTGACATAGATATATAAGGCTGTCACTTTACAGAAAAAGAGGTGAAGGGAGGGAGGGAGGAAAGAAGGTGAAGGGAGAAAGAAAAAGTGAGCAAACAATGGGAAGAAGGAAAGAAAAGAGCAGAACTCCAGAGCCCAGCCTTCTTATGCCATAGAAGATAGAATGACTGTGGAAGGCCTAAAACAAGAAATTTCTCTGAGGATCAGGAATATTATGAATGAAAACTGACTTTTTAACTTTCATTTGAAACCATAGAAATACTCAAGAGGTTAACTTTTTTCATGTTTTATAAACTTAGACAAAAAGAAGTTGGCTGAATTTTAACTACCCCCAAACAACACACACACACACACACACACACACACACACACACACACACACACACTGCTTGTTTTCTCAATTATGGCTTCTTGGGAGCAAATGGAAAATTCAGCAATCTGATTAACTGTAGCTTACAATAAAATAGCACTAAGTGGGTGTTTTACATGCCCTTTGTTTCTCATTATCCTTGGAAGACTGTCAAGAGTTTAATGAAACTAATACTTTGGGATTTAGATCTCTCATAACTAGAAACCAAAGCCTCCCCAAGGCTAACAGCTGAGTCACTCAGGATCTTTAAGCCAGTGGGATGTGCTATGCACGAGGCTGTGTCGTATGTGCATTGCCCCCTGGAATCCTCTCAGCAACCCTACAATAAAAGGATAACTAGTATTTCTATTGAACAGAGGTAACTGAGACTTAACGTGGTTATGGAACTTGCCTAAATGGTAGGAAAATATTATGGTTTGGATCTTGAATGTCCCTCCAAAACTTACAAGTTGAAAGTTCGGCCCCCAATGCAGCAATGTCCAGAGGTGAGACTTTGGGAAGTGATTAGATATTGAGAGCTTTGACCTCATTAGTGGATTAATAATTTGAATGGAGTGCTAGGAAGAGGCAGAATCTCTAGGCAGGTGAGACATGGTTGTAGGAAGTAGGTCACTGGAAGACTATATCGTGGCCCCCAGCCTCTTCTTCTCCACACCCCCCACACCTTCCTTACTCTCTTTTCCCCTCCCCCCGTCTCTAAACCTCTCTCTCTGAATCTCTCACTCAATCTCTCTCTCAATCTCTCTGACTCTCGATCTCTCCTCATCTCTCTCTCCTTCCCAGCTATCATGACCTGAGCAGCTATCCTCCACCATGATGCTTCTCCCTTGGAGTCAATCAACTATGGACTGAAACCTCTGAAACCATGAGCCAAAATAAGCCTTCCCTCCATTATGTTGCTTGTGTCAGGTATTTTGGTCACAACCAGCAAAGCTAAAATTGGAACCCAGGAAACTGTACTTCAGCAGGTCCTCTCTTAAACACTGTGTTCAACACTAAGCTATAGATCTGGGCACAAGAATCTCTTCCTTTAAAGCAACCAAAACAGCTGCTTGGTGTGGAAATGCAAAAAGGTAGTTTGGCTTATTGTTTTCAGAGGTTTCATAGACAATGCCCCCCAAAAACATCATCCTTCCCTTATCTTGACCTCCGCCCAGCATGCTGGATGAATGCCTGAGATTCAGGAATGTCAATAGGAGTCTGTGCTCACTCATCATTCAACCTTCTCTCCTGGCCTCCATGAGAAGTGTACATTGGCCACTTCCATGGGGTGTGGTAGATCTTCCCACAGGACTGATGCATTTGTTCACTCAATAGCTTTTAATCAGCTGACTGCCACATGACGAGCACCAGGCTGTGCTCACGAAGCCCTGAGAGACATTTTATAGATGGGGACAGATTCAAAGTAGATAGGGTTGGCAGGGACTCTCATAAGGCCTATCTATTGACTTTGGAGGCTGCTTTCTCAAGAATATGCAATAGTGAGCATGGTACCTGCTCTGAAGATACCATCACACCAACAGTGGAGGTTACATTGAGCTACTAACCACCCAATTCATGTGTTTTGTTACCTCAATGGAAAACCAACCCTTCACAGTTGAAGTCAAGGGCCCTCTGTGTATATTTAATTGAATGAACCACCTGGAATTAGGATATCTTTTCTTAGAAGTGATGGACCAAGTGTGTGAGAGTGAACTGGAGGAGAGGAAAAGGGAAAGGTGTTGCAGATAGAGGGGAGCAACACATTTGAAGGCTCTGGCACATAAGATGGGTGCCACTGTCTTGGGGAGCAATAGACAATTCCTCACAACAGTGAATGCAGAGGTACCACATGGTACACTGATCCACTTCTCAGTGCCTACTTACCAAATAAAAACACATCCACACAAAAACTTACACATGAATGTTCATAGCAGTATTATTTATAATAGCCAAAAACTGGGGGGAACAAAAATAAATGTCATCAACAGATAAATGGGTGAGCAAGATGTGGTATATTCATCTGAAGGAATATTACTCATAGATAACAGAAATGAAGTCCTGATACCCCTTCAACTATTGACGAAACTTACAAACGTTTTACTCTCAAAGGCCAGTCACAGAAGAGCACATTTGGTATGATTCTGCTTTCATGAACTGTCCAGAGTAGGCAAATCCAAAGGGGTAGAAAGTAGATTAGTAGTTATCTCAGGTTGGAGTGGGGAGGGAGGCCAGCAATGGGAGTGGCCTCTACCCAGGAAGGGCTTCTTAATGGGGTAATGAAAATATTTTAAGATAGATTAGGGTGATGGTTGCCAGTCCTGTGAATACACTGAAAATCTTAATCAAATTGTACCCTTTAAAAGAGTGACTTTTATAGTATGTAACACAATAAAGGTATTAAAATATATATAAGAACTAGAACTAGTGCCCCAACTCTCACATGTTCTGGAACTGCACTGGTTTTGGTAGGGCTTTTTTTTTTTTTCCAGTTTTTATTCTCCTAAGATAAGGCATTTGATACTGAATGTCTTTCCATCCTCATCCCATTAAAAGCACTATTCACAAGTTGCATGTAGTGTGAACAAAGCTGAAGCCACATCTTCTCAACTCTACATCTACCGGCCTGTCCAGTCATAATCATTTCCCTCCTAATGAGCCTTGAAGCCCTTAATGGTCCTGACTCATTCCAAGACTCAAATATTTTCCTTCTATGGCATTTGCAAGTCCTCCCACTACACCCACCATCCCCCTAAAAAACAGATCTATGGACAGAAAGTTGGAAATAAAATTTCTTCTTACTCCAAGCTCAGTAGAACAACAAAGACAGTAATGGTAAAAGCGACCCATCCCCCAAGAATCCCAGTTATGTAGTTTTCCCTGTAGTTGCAGCCCCATCATTGAGGCAGGATTTGGCTGCAGTGTGAGGAATTTATGTTACACAAAAGTCATTTTCTTAGGAGCAGCGCTGAACAATGGGCTATTGAGCAAACATGTAACTTTTCCATCTGTGAATATCTTTTTTCTTTTTTTTTAAGTGTCTCTAAAGATTCTTATCTGTGAACTCCTAACTACGATAGACTTAGTCTTCCCATAAAGCAAGAGAGCTAACGAGATTTCTTATAATCCCCCTCCTTTCCTATTACCTATAATATTTAATGGTTTCCCTTCAATTCTGTCAGCCCTTGCAATTCCTCCTCTGTTTTACTGTGGTTCATTTTCAGCTTAATAACCACCTCATTCTATGCATCATCTCTCTGAAAATTTCAGGGAATAGCCATGTAAGAGAAATGCACTCTTCGAATTTAGAACAGTACATTATGTGTATACTTTTATATTATGTTCCATTTGTGCTGCTCCAACAACATTGGATGAACTCTGTGGCAAACTGAAATGACTGTGATGTTTTCCATTTGGAAAGGGTGGCTTATTTAGCAGGTACATAATAGCATTTATTTTCTTTACCATCAGAAGTAGTGTGGTGTGTTTGCCCCCACCCCCAAACCAGTTCTAGGCATCAACCTAGCAAGTTTGAACTATATGTCGTGGCTGACATTATAGCTTCAATGTTTTTATTTTGTTTTTAAGACTCTTCTTAACCCAGAAGATGGATAAACTTATCCAGAAAGCTCTATTCATCAGAGTTTTTCCTATTTGGACTACTAGTTTTTAGTAATTTCTAGCTAGGAATAATAATAACTAATGTTTATTGAACACATATAATGGGCCAGTCACTGTTTCAAAATATATAGATATAGATAGATAGAGATAGAGATAGATAACTTACTTAGTCCCCACGATGACCCTGTGAAACATGTATTGTTATTATCCCTATTTTATAGATGAAGACTTTGAGATAATGAGAACTTAAGAAATTTGTCCAAGATGGCAGAACTGGAGTCTGGTTCCCAAGCCAACCTTTATGACGCCTGGCAGCAGGAGCTTAATAACCTCTTTGAGTGAACAAGTTGAGGATATAGAACAATGAAAGAAATACATGACAGCAAAATTCCATGTACTCATCTCCACCCATCTTTTCCAGCCATTTGCCCTCTAGGAAGCCTCCCAAGATTATGAGAATAGAAAGGACATTGTTCTGTCCTCCCTCCTCCCTGCTTTTTTTCACCTCCTAGATGCAGAGGGACCTTTCTACAGAATATGTTTATGGAGAGAAACGTGTAAAGCAAGCCAGTTCCCAGGAACCCAGATATCCATGTGCAAATGTACAAGGTAAATCTAGCTTTTGACTCATTGTGACCATAAGAATAAAACTGGAGGATTCTGATAAAGCATATATGGACAGCAAACATTCTGCAGGAAGAACTATTTTGGAACCTACAGCTCTGACACTAGGTTTTAATCTTATCTGTTGTTAGCTCTTACTTGAGACCAAGATCACATGATTAAAATTGGAATTAACTAGCTATTTTAAAACCCTCTCTTTGGTTCCTTGCTAACTGATTAGATGGATTTTCCAGGCTTCTCTTTCTTAGTTTCCAAACCAGAAGTCAATACTTGCAGATCCAAAGAATTTGGCACAATATTTTTCAGTAGTGATGGCATACTTTGTTCAATGACATAGCTACCAGGGCCATTTATTCAAAAGTGTCCATAGATATGTGGCAGCTGCAGGTCCCCACATAATGGCTACACTGGTGCTTCAAAAAAGTGAAGAAGAGTTAAACTGAGGTGACTGAGATCAGGTGAGAGGAACAAAAGCCTAGCCAACTTACCTCTCCTGCTGGGAAATCTCCACTAAGCCTGGTTTTTAACCACACACTCAAAGGGACAAGTATGCCTCTTTATTTACATTGGCTCATTCAAATTTCCCAACAGTACTGTTAGAGATTCTGCTTATGCCTGGTAAAGACAAGGAAAGTAGAGCCAAGATGTGGACCAGGCCTTCGACTCCATACAATCCTCATTTTAGCTATGACAATGCTCTCACCTTTATATCTCAGCATAAAGACAAAACCTGTGCAGCAAATATGTTTTCAAAACCAATTCAGCTCATTTCAACAATTTCAAGATTTTATAAGTGGTAGAAACCCACAGGTCCAAACGCATCTCTCTCAAGAACCTGATCTTCCCCTAATCTAGCTGATGGGAGTAAAGTATTTCTAGAATACCTCCAATTAAATGTAGATAAAGCACTCCAAGTTATAGGCACTAACAAGTTTAGTGGGGAGGTGATAACAAAAGATATTAAATTCTTATACTGATGTTTTGTTATGACTCTTTTGCACTGTTACACTTGGGTAATTCGTTTTGGTTGTTGATGTTCGGATGTTGCTTAATACATCAGATTTCAAAACCTTTTCAGCAACATCATTTCCTTTGATGGTTGTAACAACCTTCTGAGATAGACAGATGGGAGACTACTACTCCAATTTTACAGAATGAAAACTGAGGCTTTGTGTTCCCACTGTGAGACTGCTGAGTAGTTGAGTGGCTCCTAGAGTCCATTGGTTTGACACCCAAATCAGTGGGAAGTGCCAGTATAATGGATACCACGACAGGATCTACCAGAAGAAATGCTTTTGGGCTACAAGGACATTTATGGTATTTTGTAACACCAAAAATTTATGAAATAACACATTGATAAGTAAAATGAGTAGTAGTAAAGTAACCATACAATGAAGTACTATAAAGCAGTGAAAATGGTCTCTTGCTAAACACAATAGCATGAATGAATCACAGGAAGGTTGAAAAAAATAAGCCAATTATAAAAAGGTATAATTTGTATAATATTTTTATAAGTGTTGTATATAAATTATAAAAATAAGCAAAACTACTCTAAGTTTGCACATAGGATAACCAAAATATTAAGAAACAAATGGG